ATGTTGAACAAGACCGGACCCAGCACAGACCCCTGAGGAACACCGCTAGTTACAGGCCTCCAACCGGACTCTGCACCACCAACAACGACCCTCTGTGCTCTGCCAGTCAGCCAGTTCTCAACCCACCTCACTGTCCACTCATCTATCCCACACTTCCTCAGATTTGTTATAAGGACGTCATGGGGGACAGTATCAAATGCCTTGCTGAAATCAAAGTAGACTACATCCACTGCTCTCCCCCTATCCACCCAGCCAGAGACAACATCATAGAAGGCTACCAGGTTGGTCAAGCACGACCTCGCCCTTGTGAACCCGTGCTGACTACTCCTGATAACCTCCTCTTCTTCCAGTTGTCTGGAGATGACATCCAGTACAAGCTGTTCCATCACCTTTCCAGGGACAGAGGTGAGGCTGACTGGCCTATAATTGCCTGGGTCTTCCTTCTTGCCTTTTTTGAAGACCGGGGTGACGTTGGCTATCTTCCAGTCTTCAGGCACCTTCCCCGTCTTCCAAGACTTCTCAAAGATGACCGAAAGCGGTTCAGCAATCACCTCTGCCAGCTCCTTCAGCACCCGTGGATGAATCCCATCAGGTCCCATGGATTTCTGAACATTGATGTTGCCTAGGTGCTCCCGGACCACCTCTTCCCTGACAGAAGGGGGGTCTTCCATTCCCCAGATCCTCTCACTAATCTCCAGGGTCTCAGATTCCCGAGGGGGAGCTTTTTCACTGAAGACAGAAGCAAAGAAGGCATTCAGTATCTCCGCCTTCTCAGCATCCCCCGTTACCAGAACACCCCCGTCACTTAGCAGGGGAGCCACATTCTCCCTAGTCTTCCTTTTACTGTTAATGTACTTGAAAAAACCTTTTTTATTATCCTTTATCCCCTTTGCCAGATTTAATTCCAGGCAGGCTTTAGCCTTCCTTGTCGCATCCCTGCAGACCCTGACAACATTCCTGTATTCTTCCCAAGTAGTCAGACCCTTTTTCCACATTTCATGGGCCTTCTTCTTTCCTTTGAGTTTGTGCACGAACTCCTTGCTCATCCACACAGGCCTCCTGCCACCCTTTCCCGATTTCTTCCTCACAGGGACGCACCGATCCTGAGCTTGGAAGAAGAGCTGCTTAAATGCCGACCAGCTCTCACAGGCCCCCTTGCCTTCCAACACCCTAGCCCATGAGACAGCTCCAAGTAGGCCCCGAAAGAGATCGAAGTTGGCTCTCCTAAAGTCCAGGATAGCAATCCTACTTTTTGCTTTACTTCTTCCACTCAGGATCTTGAACTCCACCATCTCGTGGTCACTACAACCCAAGCTGCCCCCGACCTTTACTTCCCTGACAAGCCCTTCTCTATTAGTGAGAATAAGGTCCAGCAGTACCCCTCTCCTTGTCGATTCCTCAACCACCTGCATCAGGAAGTTGTCTTCAACACATTGCAGGAACCGTCTGGACCACGCATGCCTGGCCACATTGCTTTTCCAGCAAATATCTGGATGATTGAAGTCCCCCATAAGCACCAGTGCCTGGGATCGTGACGCTGCTTCCAACTGTTTGTGGAAGGCCTCATCAACCTCCTCCTCCTGATCAGGGGGCCTGTAGCACACACCCACAACGGTGTCAGCCATACCAGCCCACCCCTTGATTCTTACCCACAAGCTCTCCACTGCTACGCCACTCTTCACTTTAGCTGATTTTTATTTTTATTGCTTTTAAATTGTCACAGAGTCAGAAAATCATTTGAGTTGGAAGAGACCTTTAAAAGTTGTCTATTCCAACTCCCCTACAATGAACAGGGACACCTACAGCTAGATCAGGTTGCTCAGAGCCCCATCTTGCCTTACCTTGAAGATCTCCAAGGACAGTTCTTCCAACACATCTCTGGACAATCTGTTCCAGTGCTTCACTACTCTTAACATAATTTTTTTTTCCTTACATCCAGTCTAATTCTCCCCTCTTTTGGAAATAATTTCTTCCAGTCATATAATCACAAAGCCTGCTGTAATATCTGTCCCCTTTTTTGCAGAAGTCCCCTGTAGATATTGAAAGGTCCTCCCAGAGCCTTCTCTTTGCCAGGCTGAACAGCCCCAACTCTCTTAGCCTGTCCTCACAGGGAAGGTGTTCCATCTCTTGGGTAATTTTTGTGGCTGTCCTCTGAATGTGCTCCAACAGGTCAATGTATCTCCTGCTCTGAGAACCCTACATCTAGACACAGTACTCCAGGTGAGATTTCATCAGCACAGAATAGAGGGACAGAATCACCTCCCTCAACGCTCTTTTTGATGCGACCCAGGACACATACGGTTGACTTTCTGTGCTGCGAGGGCACATTGATGGCTATCCGTTCAGTACACCCACATCCTTTTCAGCAGGGTTATGTCTCTATCCTTTGTACTGATAGTCGGGGTTGCTGTGACCCAGCTGTAAGAACTTGCACTTTAATTCACTGAAACTCATAAGATTCACCTGGGCGCACTGACTTCTAGGTCTCTTTGAATGGTATCTCATCCCTCCGGTGCACTGACCACCCCACTCAGTTGCTGTCATCCACAAACTTGCTGAGGATGCTCTCAGTCCCACTGTTGATGTTACTGAGGAAGATATTAAAGAAAATTCGTTCAAATACTGAGGGATACTACTTGTCACTGATCTCTGTCCGGACATTGGACCACTGACCACCACTCTGTGGGTACAGTCTTAACCAGTTCCTCATTCATCAAATGGTCCATCCATCAAATCAGTATCTTTCCAGTCTGGAGAGAAGGATGTTATTGGGGACTGTGTCCCTTACTGAAGTCCAGACAGATGACATCACTGGCTTTTTCCTTTCCATTGATGCAGATACACAACCATAGAAAGCCAATAAGTTGGACTGGTAGGACTTGTTCTTTGTTGCCATATTGATTGCCCTGTATCACATCGCTCTCTTCCACATGCCTTGGCATAGCTTCCAGAAGGATCTGTTCCATAATCTTCCCCAGCATAGAGATGAGGCTGGCAGGTCAGTAGTTCCCTGGGTCATTCTTTCTACACCTATGTTCCCAACAGCTACTGCAAGCTTCAGGCACAGGATACAGAACAAAGAGGAACAAAAACTTAGAGAACAGGAATGGCTTGGAAGAAACAGGGAGAACAGTGTCTGTCCCTTAGACATGTTACTATCTAACACCTGGAAAATTGCTGTTGATTCTTGAATGTGTCTGTTGCTCTGCTGACAAAATATATTTTTCTCTGCCTTTAGGTAACTATGCTTGTATTATGGAATTCCATGTGATGCTGAGTCACTGATACAAATAATTATTAACAGGCTTTTTTTGTATTCCTTACTTTCTGCCTTACTATTTCAATCTGTGTAAGTTCACATTTTATCAGATGCAAGTGAATTCAGTGGAAGCTGAGCTTTGAGCATGTAAAATGAATGCTAAATTCTTAAGAAAAAATAAATTGACAGTTTTGTGTCTCAAATTAGGCATGAAAATTTAGCAGATTTTTTTTTAAGCTTGCTTTCTTAGATCTCTATCACACCCCTCCGAGAGGGGCTGTGAAAGTAAATGAATTGTTTATGAAGCATTGAGATAGGTGTAATGGAGATCAGGAGGAAAGTAATAATTCTTTCTTTGAAGAGAGGTTTGAGTTGTACAACAGGAGGCCACCCACTAAACAGTACAACAAAAGCAAAATATTAAACACCTGCTCATTAGATGAAAACCAACCATACAGACATGTTTAGGGGAAGAGTTGCATGTGATCATGTAATTGCAACCGTTCCGATAAAGCAGAAAGGGAATGAAGAAAAGGCATACAAACAGCCTTAATTTTGACACTTCTGGCTTTTAGGTGCTGCATGTTAAATTTTGCAACTTTATTAATGTTCTTTTAATGTTTTTGTTTGTTTATTTGTTTGTTTTTCAATTTGCATATGTTAAACATCTATAGCAAGCCCATAAATTCAGCTCTGTGGTTAGGAAAACAATCTGCCTAAGTCAGAGTCTGGTATTGCTTACATCTGTGTAAATTTTGAATAATTTTCTAAGTGACATCATACCACTCAACTTACTGAGAATGAAATGTGAAAAGTAGTGTGTAACTGGTTTTAGATGTCTTTATAATAAATCTCTGTCTTGAGTGGAAATATTGCTTCATGTAAACCCAGTCTTATAATGGTTTGTCTCTGGCATAAATAATTTATGACAATAAAAGTGTGGTATGGCTAGGAGAGGACAGAACAAAATTTATGCAATCCAAAGGCAACTTGGAAACTAACCCCAGTGACATCCTTTCAAATGAAATTACCGGTACTTTGAGTTTGTACCACTCTAACTGACATCAGATTGTGGCTCTGCATCTGGATTTCAAACAGGCCTGTGCAACATTATGATGATTAATAATATTTGTAGCTTTGCAGACTAACATAACAAGGGTAAACAGAACTTATTATTGAGGCCTTAATTTATTTTTCCATGATGAAGTTAGTGATGGAAATCAGTGAAGATTTGACCTCCACACAACAGCTCTCAATCGGTTGGGACACCTAACACACAGTTTGCATTTTCCTCCAAAGCATCAAGCTATTGATCATTGCCAAAGGCAGGATATCTCTGTGGGCAGCTCATATATTTCTGGAGCAGACAGTAGGTTTTAAATCACACTTAGACCATGCAGCAGTGCAGAGCTAAAGAGTTCACATGGAAGGGCATGATCTGGAAGACGTCCCCAGTTGCTGTGACAGGCAGACAGCCGGTGCTGGCACGCGCTTCGTGCTAGTGGCACTCAGCATTTATGTGAAGGCCAGACATGACAACCTCAGCATCTCCATCCCAGCCATCACTGTTTTGGCTGCCGGTGCACATCATCAGTTCCACTTGTCTGAATTTGTGGAACTCAGCCCTCTTTTCTATCTTCCGCGGATCGGTAAACAAAAATTTGCTAAAAAGTCAAAAGTTTTTTTTCATTTCAGCCCTCTGACTCACTGAGGAATTTAATTTTTAATGTCTCTTTTTAAGAGCGGCCCACGTTTCTCAGGCGACCAATCAACCAGGTGGTGCTGGAGGAGGAGGCCGTGGATTTCCGGTGCCAGGTGCAGGGGGACCCGCAGCCCACCGTCCGCTGGAAGAAGGATGATGCAGACCTGCCAAGAGGAAGGTGAGAGCAACATTTGTGTTCCCCTCGCATTCAAACTTCCACTGTTGAGCAGCTTTGAAACTACTCTTGACTGCATATTTCCCATGTTTCTGGTCTTTGGCACTACAAACTGTGTTTTAGAGCCAGCTGAGCAGGGAAACCCACTCTGAGCTGCATTGTCCAGGTCATGGATTCCAGTGCAAGGAAGAAAACTGATGCATAGCTGTTGTGAACAGATGGCTATTCACTGCATCTTCAGGACAAAACTAAAGATGTCTTAAGGGCTGCACTAGTAAAAGTAGCCTTCAGAAAAGGGAAAGGTACAGACCTTCTCTGTGACACTTATGGGATGCATTTGTGGCAGAGCTTTGCTGGTTCTTCTGCTAATGTTCACTATGTCTCAGAAAACTCTTCCACTGGAGAAGTCAAAAGAACTTCTGATATTTTTATCAGAAGTGGAAAACACTAGGTTAATTCTTTTGGTCACCAGTATTATTTCTGCTTCTCCAATCATGGTCTTAAAAAAAGAGCAACTGTGTTGGTGTTTGACTGGTTTAACCCTGTCAGTGTATATCAAATGTTCTGAGAGCACACTGCTGTGACGGGGACTAACTAAAACAAGTTGGAAGTTTTGGCTTCTTTCATCATTACAGCATGCCTTACATCTTCACCCTAACTAGGTAAAGTGTGGTAATTCCTAGGAGTCATACAGTAAATGGTCATCATTACATCTGGGGTTAACATCACTTGTTTTTCAATATCTAAATCTTGAATAAAATAACAAAACTCAAATTGGTCTGTAGCTGTTTTTGCTTCCACTTCCTCAGCTCTATGTTTGATGTGAACATAGAATTATTTAATTAAATACTAGTGAATGTATTGGGCTGCTATGGTTTAGTCTTACTGCTTAAGTTGTTTTAAATCATACCTACTTCTAGGCCTTCTAAGCAGAACAGGTGGTGCAGTTGCAGTGCCTTTGATTAGGCTGCATGCTGGATTAAGTTTTTAAAATGGTTCTATGTACCTTTTTTTATATATTTTACGGTTAAAAACAAGTTACTGTGTGTTTTGAGGTAATTTCTTCTGTCCAGTTGTGATGTCTTTCTTTTTAAGATAAAAAATGTAACAGGAAATGGGAACAGTTATCATAGTGTTTTAATATCAGATACCTTCTGATGATATTCAACTTCACTCTCAGAAACTGTTCATTTCTGCAGTGGTTTTCTTTTTCTTTTTTTTTTTTTCTTTTCACTGCTGTTAAATGATTTATTAATTGTCTTTGGGCATCTTCAAGAGCTATGTCTTCAGCTATGTCTTCTTTAGACCATCATGGGGATAGGTGAGTAATGTGCAAAGTTACAGCATCTCATGCTGGAGGCCACCTTGGGTGATAGAGGATTGCCAGTGCTATTGCCTATGTCGAAGGTTACCACCATATAGATTTTGATCATCTAGTGGTCCAGTATTAATGCCTTAAAAACAAACACCAATTATCAGGATTGTGTGTTTTCAAAAACAATATACATAAGCAGAATCTTCAATGTCCAAAGGGTGGAAATTTCCAAACCATGATGCACGTTGTTTAATCACAGAAGATAAACTATCTGAAATGAATTTTTCTCTTTTTTTAATGCAAACAAATTTTCCAAAGGGTGAGTTGAAAGAATGAGGTGAGAAAATGAAAATTCGGGCAGAAATTTCTTAATTTTTTTCTCCTTGATGAAATATAAAATTTTCTATCCTTTTTTATTTTTTTTTTTTGAGATTAGAAAAGAATGTCACTTTCATTTTTTGAAGTCCTGTATTTTAAGCATTTTAATATAAATGGTGAATTATGAAATTTTAAGGAATTCCCTTTGTTATAATTTCATAAATAAATAAATCCTTTTTCTGAGCAGATCTGTGCTGCTATTTGTCTTAGAGATTTCAAAGACAATTTCCTCTTTCTACAGCTAGTGATGTTCTCTGCACATTTGCCCTTCTGGTTTTGGCTGTGGGGCTTTTTTGTTGTTGTTGTTTTTTAATTATTATTCCAATAATTTCCTTTTGGCCACATCCCTAGGTTACAACATAATTATAGTAGATACCTGCTTCAGTAAGTACTGCAAATTATTATAATTTTCTATTATTAATTCAATTTTCAAAAATACATCGGTCAGTAATAGCAAAGTGGGATAAACTGAATACTCTGTATTTCTATGCGTTTTGTTTCTGTATTCCACTGATGATGAACGCCAGAATCAGTGATGCTGTATCCATAGTATTCCAGAAACCCTTCTCTGCTTTTCTATATTAGTTCCTTCAAGTTCTTTCAATTTTTTACTGAAATATGTGAAAGCAAAGAGAAAAGCAATAGCAGTAATTTCTGGTGGCAAATATAAACAGTATTGCTCCACCAATTGGTGTGTTGAGTAATAATTGGGAAATAATTTCAGGCTATTACAGTTTTAATTATATAAGTCCCTGGTGAACTGTAAACATCTCCACTCACAGTTGGACTGGGGGAGGGAACAACTTCTAAAGAAGTAAATGTGTTTGAAAATATGAAAATTTAAAAAATCATAATTTAGGTATTTTGTTTAATTGTCCTCGTAATTACCCAGAAATTTATGAACAATTGTGCTTTGAAACTAAGAACAGATGGGACACAAGTTTATTCTGAGTGTGCAGATCTGTATTCCAAATTTTCACTATTTTGAATTAATGATCTAAAACAACTATCAGCCTATATTTTTGAATTTAAGACCTAAAATTTGTTCATCTAGTCAATGTTTTTAAAGTGTCTGCAAAAAATATGTCTCTCTATCACTCAGAGGAAGCTTCTTTTCCTAAATCCTCTAGACATGACCTGAGATTTCAAAGATCTCTGTACACATCATGGAGCTTTTTTCTGTAGCTTTTCTGTATCTTTGACAGGAATTAAGAAAGCATTAGGAAGTAGCGAGTGGAAGCGGTGGTGTGAATTATGCATAGCTGTTTTCTTAGGATTTTTTTGCCTTCTGTTTTATTGTGTTGACCTCAAAGATGAATGTGATGATATGTCGCAGTAGAGTTGAACCTTCCCACCAATATTCCATTATGTTTTGCTGCCATGTGACAGATGGCAACAGAGGGACAGTCTGATGGAATGGTGTCCAGCATGGAAGTGTGTGTAAAGAACCCATTTACATTTATTAACAGTTGATGAGCTTTTATGGAGACCAAACAGTGAATGTGAGCACTGTGAGGCAGTGACTGTGTTTCAGTAGAAGCAAGAGCCACATTTCAGTGACCCACGCAGATTTTTACAGATGTGCCTTGCAGGCTTTTGTTCATTATTGGTGACAATGCACAGCTTATGGTGGTGACTATGTAGAAAGACAGTGTTATGTAACTGAGAATTTGCTCTATCATTGTTACTGTGCTCTTCGTATCTGTGGTAGGTTCTATGGAAATAATTAGGAGGCATTACTTTCAGAGCAAGCTATGTATATTTTTGTAATAATTAATTAAATTATTCAGACCTGAAAATTCTTTTTGGACCCTAAACCAATCCCAGCATATTAGTAGCTTGCTAAAAATACTGATGCTGCACCCATAGGCAGAAATAAAGGGCAATGTGAAATGTAGGTTGTATAAAGCTTTTTTTCCAGAAGCTGTCCATTTTAAATCAGCGAGAAGAAACTGAAATGGATTATGAAACCGGGATAGAGGCGCGTGGTGTATATTTTATTTTACTTGCTTGCTCTAAAGAATCAACATCACACCATACCTTCCACAGTATACAAAGGCGAACGGAATAGTTAATCAAGTATGACTCGTGTCAAACTACTGGAGGTGAACAGGATATTGTGGGGTCAGTAGTCTTTATGCCTTTGGCTGAAATACTGGATTCACAACTTCATGAATAGTGTTTCTTTTCTTTATAAGCACCTCAAGGAAATGGCACAAAAATTGTTCTAAAGCTGTACTAAAGCAACTCAGCCAGTTGCAGCTATGCAGAATGATCAGGAAATACTGAAAATTAAATGAAAATCATTTTTACTTACACATTGAAGTCTTTTTCTAACCACAGGTTCAGGTAGCTTTCCTTTGATGTCTGCTTGGCAGAAATAGAGATTATACTTTCTTGCTAAGAGTCTGATGGTCTCCTGTGTTGTCAGGAATTCAATATGGCTTGAATCAACTCTTGATTCATCTGCTTTTCATTCCTAGTAACAAGAAAAAAGTGATATTACTTGAGAGTCTCCAATATGAGAGTGGCATATCTATGACTAGCACTTTAATAAAATTTGAATAGGGTTTGTACAGTGTTTCATGTCTTCAAATTTTCTAGCAGAGTCAAAGAGAGCAGCTGCATAGTCTGTAATTACATAGCAAGTAATACGTATATTTTCTTTTTTTTTATCAGGAAGTGAAGAGATTTTCAATTACAAGTTAAAATTTATGACACACTATAATAACTGTTTAAACCTTTTACACAGAAGAAGCTAACAGTGCCAGCTCTTTGGGAAAGTGAAGTTAGCTCAGCAAATGCATTTTTCAGTTGCCTTAAAAATGACTGAGTAGCAATCACTTGGGCCTTTTTTTGCATTCCAGCAAAGAACAGCTGGCTTAGCTCAGTAAATACATCTCTAATGAAATTAGAACCTGCTCTTGTAAGTTGCATTTACAGGCATTGTCTGATTAGATGAATATTATACTAGAAATGAAGAGTGGCATCTACACCAGCAGGAAGATGTATTTGTTTTATGTACTGTCCACACAATGGAAGAGTGTAGGCAGAAAAATCAAGAGTGATGCTTCAGAAGGAAAACAGTGTGTAGTTTATCAAGAGTATATTGTGCTAAGAGATTGCAGGCTCTTAGATGAGACAGAGCAGTGATACCCACTAATGAAAAACGTAGTCACTAAAAATTAAAAATATTCATTAAAAAGTATTAGGGAAAATGAATTATTTTCTGGTTTTTAAAATTTATATACATTTAAGTGCATTAAAGTATTGTCATTGTTTGCTGAGAACTGTAAACATTTTTTTTAAT